TATAGCGATCAGTGTAATTATTGATGCACTCTCCAGCAGTGGTCCGCAACCCGGGAAAGTCACGTGCTGCTATAAAAAAAATGGATGTGTCCTTTAATTTAAAAAAAAAAAAAAAAAACTTTAATACGACATTGATATGTCAGCTTGAGAGCGCGGTGTCACTTCACGTCACCTCTTCTTGTATGTACTGGATAAGGAAAGGGGAAGCTCTCAAGTTGTCAACTGGGAAGCTGAAGAAACCCTGGATTTCCTTCTGATGAAGGTCCATGGTGATGATGTGAGTCAGTCCTGCAAAATCAACAGCATGGGATCCAGTGAACTCCCAATAAGATTCAGTTCAGAGACAGGCATCATGTTAATTTTTGTGTTTTTAATTTGCGGTGCCGCGCCGAACTGAGTCCTGTTTTTCAATTTGGCAGTTACCGTCTCTCGCAAAATGATAACAGAGTCTCTTTGGCGGAGAAAAAGTGGTAGAATTCTTGGGAGTGCACGTACCGGCTTTGGCCAACATGGCGGCCAGGAGTTTGCAGACGATGGAGCCCCTCTTCCTCATCTTGCACTGCTTGCTGTAAGGGAAGTAAGGGATGACTCCGATGATGTTCTTGGCGCAGGACGTTTTCAGAGCATACGCCATGATCAGCAGCTCCATGATGGCCGTGTTGACATCCCTACACATCAACGCATACGGTTACAACCAAAAACAAAAATGTACAGTCGCTAGAAGAAGCCTACACGCCCATCCCTGTCAAAATAGAAACTCTTTTCAAGATGACAAGGCGTGACCAAAATAAATCATTGGCCACAATGATTTTATTATGTGTAGGTGGCAGTCAGATGATCAAGCAGTTACATTACCGTGCGCAAGATTATTCCTGTCTTTTATGCGCGGCTCAGCAATTTTTCTGACCTAAATTCAAGTCCTCTTTTTTTTCTGTTGAAAAGGATTAGGAAGACATCTCACCTGGGAATTGTCTGAATGATGAAGATGTCTTGTCCACGGACAGACTCCTTCACATCTACTCTGGTCTCTGCGCACAAGTGAGATCAAGGTGGGCTCGAGCGAACAAAGACGATGGTCGAACATGGAAGGGAGCGCCCGCGGAGCTCTTTTGTCACCTTACCCGCGTTTCCCTCTTGGTATACCACCGACTTGCCCAACTCTACACCCAGGCGTCTAGGAAGAAAAAAAAAGTACGGTCGGGTGAACATCACAACATAAATCTATCAGCAACAACGAGAAGGAAGCCAATTCATGTTGGTTGCCGATCAAAAGCTTTTAAGCTCCTTCTGCATAGACTGTAAAAGCTCTGATGCACCAAATTGGTGTCATTTCTGTGTGAAATTTACACGGGTGGGCAGTGGTATGAGGTGGACCAAACAAATACTGTACAGCCAACATGTGTACTGTCTTTACTTTTTATAAATAGTGACCTCTGTTCTGGGAGGTTGTTGCTGCCTTGCTTTTGTGGTGCAAGGTTGGACTCACTTGACGGGAGAATTCTGATATTTCTTGCCTATGGCAACATTCAAATGCTCACCATACATTTCTTTTGCTGCTGCTGCTGAAGATGCAAATAAAATCGGTTAATATGGGCTGCCATCCAGAGTGAGCCCATACATTTTAAGTTTCACTTCAGGATTTTTCATGACATTTGCATGAAGCACACAACATTCTGAGCAAGCCCCGACTTTATGGCGCGCCTGCTGTTGCGTAATAAAAACATGCTGCTCATTAAAAGATGCAACCGTCACATGATCATGAGCGTGCTGCAGATGAGGGAAGGCTTGGCCCACAACTGGAAACCTCGCCCAATTCAACTCACTCAACCGCAGTCTTGATCAGGTCGTCAATGCAAGGGATCAGCAAGGTGCTTTTCCTGTCATGGCACGACCGTGGAAAACACAACTCACTTAGCAGTGATATGATCATGCCATTTGTTTTGTTGTGAGAAATTAAATCCTGACAAAATACGGAATCCCTCAGGGGCCACTGACTGGTTGGCTCGTTGTGACTTTAAAGACCTTCTGCATGGATCCAGCAGACGTTTTGACTGTTTTCCACTGGGTAGCAAGGACAGGAGCAATCATCTAAAATTTATATTGAAGAGGGAAGGATGAGTGGTTTCAACGTGACACCAAAGGCCAACATAACATTGGACATTCATCGTAGAAGGGGTTCCGTCAGTGGTCATCTGTACCGGAACCCCTTCTACGATGGAACTTTCCTGTACGACTGAGAGCCTCCACAAGCATTGGACATTCATGCCAAAACGTGAGGGAAGGGCCTCGAAAAAACAAACAAACTTGAATTTGAATTGAAAAAAATGCTCTGTTATGTAAGACTCATCAAAAAAAAAAATTCTATTCAAAGATACAATTGATGTATCTTGAACATGGTCTTGTTTTGGGGCACACCAACAACTTCCATGCGTGGTGCGCATGCGTAGTTCTGACCGAGGGACTATTGGGGAATCTTAAAACACACACATACACACACACACACACACAGCCTCGTGCCAACTGCACCTTCGTGTCAACAACCAAGCTAGCAAAAAGTAACAAATAGCGATGTCGTTTACTTACTCAGTAATCTTCTTGGCCAGCTCGGTACAGGCGCTGCTGGAGTTGGCTGAGAAAACACGGTATCCACTTTTTGACACGTTCATTTTCGAGAAACCATACGAGAGCTTGGGCGTTTCAAAGCGTTTGACCAGAGACCTGTGACCGCCGAAACGCCTTACCGGCATGTTGTTTAACACCCCAGAAACTTCAATTGCCCCTCCCTTTGTCTTTGAAAAACTTGAGAACGACAACGAACTTGCCTAAGATTAAGTGTAAAAAAAAAAAAAAAAAAAAGAAACACACAAGGCAAAACTATGCAAACTTTTCGCGTTGGAGGTCTTCCACACTTGTTAAAAGCAACTCCAAATACTAAAGTGTTCCTCCTGTGCGATTGAGCCACTAAAGCGATGTTTTAACACACTTGGAATTTTCCACACAAACCGTGCTATTTGTGTATAAAGTATCACAACTAAAATTCGACTGATGTTGAATATATGCAGCACCGACTGTATAAGTGACTCAAGGGGGAAAAAACAGACACTCCGCCTAGCCAATCAGAGGCCAAATAGAGCCTAGTGGGCGTGTAAAAAAACGTGATTGCCCAATCCGAGTGTGAATTAACCTTGGCGTCATCTTAAAGCGCGAGTAACTAGAATCACGGCAAAAGTATGCTTTCGGTTTTTTTTTCTGAGTAATTCAAATCGTAGTGCAATCAATGTTTTCATTTTAACTCTCGTTATTAATTAACCCATACTGTGTCCTACTTTTTCTACATTTGATTATCGGGCGCAACCCTACCAGTGCAGTAAAAACTGACAAATATGCAGGACCTCACGTCTACATGAATAAACAAATAAAATATACAGCGAGTCCTCGGTTTAGAACATGTTTGTTGTTTTTCATTCAGTAGTTGTTTGAATGTATGACATAGAAGTGTTGGAAAGCACACATTGCCTGTACTTATGAATTTATTATTGCGTTCGTGTAAATTGCTTAACTGCCACGCGTTTTGCGTCGCAATCAAACGTATGAACGTAACTCGGTCGTAAAACGATGACCCCATGTAGAGTACAGAGTACAGAACACAAATAAGATACACGAAGTCTACAAAAGATAATTGGGGAAACGATTGTACATTTTTTAACAAACATTCACAGATTGTACATAAAAAAACGAAGGGAGTCATTAAAACATTTTAAACTGCACTTACTAAAATAAAATACATAATGCATATTAACAAATATCTTGACTATGCAAAGGTGCTTCATAAAATTTCACTGACAGTAAAATGTCCTAGATAAATACATTAAAAGGCATCATACAGCCTGATTAATTGTACTGCATCTTTACTGTTAATAAGCAGTGTTCCAATGACCAGGCGTAGTAAACCACACCGCTTATTTACCTATTTCAGTGCAATATAACGTCACAGATTACGGCACACTTGACAATAGTAAGATCTGCAGGATTTTGCAGCGAGGATCACCATGCCCTAAAGTCACTGCTCCACACCCATTCTGCATTCCATTCATGTCATAAATGAGTCTTTAATTTGATCACTTAATCTCATGATGCCTTCTTTTGTGAAACACAGTAATGGGGAAGCCATTGTTGTCTCTATTCATTGATTTATTTATTTTTAATTTAGCTCAATAATTTCTCCGTTTCAGCTCCCAAGCACCTTCACTTTGAGCAAGTCCAAGATGACCTGCCTCTCTTGGCTCTCCAGCTCAAATCTTCCTTCCCGTTCCTTTCTGTCCGCTTCCAAGCGCTCCCTTTCTAAAGTAATCTTACCTGAGAATAAAACCATCAGACAACCGTTAGTTATTCCACAGGGTTTTCGAAAAAATGACATTATTTTGTATAGTCTAATGTTGATGTGAAACCAAACGGGGAAATCAACTCCAAAAAATTAGGGGTCAGCATGGCTCAGTGGTAGAGTGGTCATTTCTCCACACGGATGTTGATGGTTACATCCCCGGCCATCATGTTGACGTGCCCTTGAGCAAGATATTGAACCCCCTCCCCAGGTGCTCCTGATACTGCGTCATCAGCATGTGACTGAGGTAACAGTGTAAAGCGCATTGAGTACCCCGGGTAGAAAAGCGCTAAATAAGTGACAGCCCATTTACCATTCAATATGTTCTATGCAGCCCCACTAATCTGAAATTGAAAAGGAGTTTTGCTGGAATGCATTTTTTTGAGGCAAAAAATAAATAAATAAACACGAAGTGGACAACTCTGCCCCGGGATTAAAACCACAATGATAACTCCCAAAAAGTTTACCCACATGTAGTTTGCCAGATATTCATAGTCACATTTTTTTGAACGTGCTGTGTATTTCTGGGTTAAATAGCTACGGTGACACACTGTATAACATTCTTCAATGGCATGGTTAGGTTGGCCAAATATGGGGGTGAACCTTACACCTCTGGATCTCAAGCTCCTCCCGGCGGAGGGTGAGTTCCTCCTCCCACAGCCGTTGTTCTGCCTGGTAGCGTTTCTCCAGGAAGCTGAGAATCTCCGAGTAGGTCTGGCAGCAGCACTGGCAGGCACGTTTGGACGTCGGCGCCATTTCAGTGTGGTCTTCTTCACGCTCACCTGCACATTTTAAAGGAATGTAAAATATGCTTTTGTGTGTGTGTGTGTGTGTGTGTGTGTGTGTGTGTGTGTGTGTGTGTGTGTGTTGAATTTAAAACATTATCCAAGGGTGTCCACATTTTCCCAAGGATCAAGAATGGTAAACATAATAGACGCTTCTTACACCTGCAAAACTGAGCCCAGAGTGCGAGAGAGAAAAAAAAAAAAGTGTAGAAACACTGTGAGTTTGCGACTTTTACCATCTTCACATTCTCGAGTGTAGTATCTTAGATGATCACCACCCGCACCGCTAACACTGTTGTCCAATGTCAGAGGCCAGCAAAGCCACGAGTCCACTTGAAGGTGTTTACCTGCTGGACTTATTTGTATGATTGGGAGCGGAGGTTTGTCCTGCTCTGGGATATTGAGTTCCTCTGTGGCTCGCTTTCTCAATTCATCAACCTGCGGAAAATGTAAGAAAATAAGAACAATAAAAAGATGGAAACGTGGCGGTAAACTCTATATCAGTGCAATATTATATTTTACAGTTCATGGAAAATTATAGCTTATGGGTAAAGAAAATGCACCAATTTAAGAAATGAAAAGGTCAGATAGGAAACATTCAAAATGATGTTCATAGAAGAGACATTACAACAAGAATTTTTATTGTCAAGAAAAGCCTACTCGAACATCACAACTCATCTTATCCACTACAAAACTCACTTGATATTTATTGAAGTCCCCGCAGGCAGCCACGCCCTTCTCCGCCTCCAGCTCTAACACCTCATGGAGCAGATCCTCCTTTTCGGCATATAAGGCCTCAGTCCCAAACCTTGAATTTAAATTAGAGGTGAAAATATCTTCTTTAAACACGGGGTCTTTTTAATTATGGATGTTGCCGTGCGTTCACCTGCGTAAACTGAGGAAGTCTTGCTTCTTGTAGTAATCCAGCAGCAGCATGGTCCTCTCCCGACACCTGCGAGCATCCACTTCAAAGCTTTCCTCGCGGAGAGCCTCTGTCATTAGCTCCCCCACGCGGGCCCACACCCTGCCTAAGTCATCATTTCACGATTAATACAAATTTATGTCATATACTACGCACAGTTTGAATATTAACACTGCACTTAGAAATGATAAAAATCATTCAACTGAAATGTGTTGCAGGACAAAGTTAAATACAACAATTATCTGGAATCCAGCCTGAGCGTCCCCACCCCCCATATCGGAGCACAGCGCCTTCGTTCGCATCAATATTAAGTAAATAGTAAGTAAGTCAGTGTGAAGTAAGCTAAGAGGAGCTTCCGAAAGTCTGTTAGCTTGTCAGCTAGCTGGTAGCTAGCACTGCTCGCCCAGTGGGATATATCTCTGCCACCGGTGGCTTTAAGCAGAGAAAGATGCCGGGCTAACCTGGTTCTTTGGAGGTAAAAGGGTTCTGGGCGATAACCTCCCGCAGAAGGACGATGTCATGGCGGGCGGAAAAACGAACCTGACGCTTTCTTGGGGCGGTGGCATGGCCACCAGGTGAATTACCTAAAATGGAGTCAGAATGTCCTACATTATAATCATCAAACAAGTGAAACAAAATTACGAACGTTAAAAGACCAAAATTTTGAATTTGGCAAGAGTGAAGTAAATTTGATTGATTTGTGTATTTGTAGGCATCTTTTCAAACTTGTTGGGGTCTAAAATCACCAGCAATCAGCATCATTATGAAATACTGTGGTGGGCCCATTGGCATAGTGGTTCGGACATCTGCCTCACACTTGAGAGGTTCTTGATTTGAATTTCTGTTGCATGTTTAAATGTGAGCGTGAATGTGCCCTGCTAACTTGCAATTAAAACAACCCAGGGTGTACCCCAGCTCTCACCCTAAATCAAGTGGGCAAAAAGAAAGTGCTTCATCTGATGACATCATTCACATTCATTTCATCTACTGTTTTGATAACTAAAATGCCTGCTGAACTGCATTACCAGCATAAAAATTAGATAAATGTCATGCAAAAACATCCACTGTCTCTCACATACAAACTTCCTGGCAGCATTTAAATATGAACTCGGGAACAGATGTCTCATTTACTGTTCAAGGGTACGTGTGTGCTTTTAATCTCACCACGAACGGCTCCCTCCAGCGACAGACGCTCCATGTTTGTGGTCGTTACATCCGGGTATTGGCGTGACGTAGACGTCCACCGAGCCGTACACGGTGACGTACACGTTGACGTTCTCCTGGCAAGTTTTGTATGTCATTGCTCGATTTGGCCACAAGATGGCGCCAGAGAAATGATTAATGCAGTTAAAAACTGAACTGAAAAGGCTGGGGCAAAAAAAAATAAATAAATAAAAATAAAACGATATCTGTACTGTGTATACAAATTAGTTCATGATACAATTCAAGTAAAAGAAAAAGTCAATACATGCATATATACCCAGTGTACAGGTATATCATATAGAAGCAAGACATCACTGTCTTTCCAAAGGCATAATTTTGGATGCAGCTCTTGTGTTGGCTGTTAACTCTATATTGCGTTTTGTGGTTGGTGGAGATTCAATGAAGAAGTGTAATGAGGTAGGAAAGAAAGAATCAATATTTAGTGATCCTACTTGAATATAAATATAAAATAAACTAGCCTCAGGATCTGTGGACAGATGCACATCCTCACTGATTTGCTTCTATTTTGGTAAGCCAAGACTCATTTTCGTGATGTCGCAGGAAAAGCGAAACAGAGATAAGCGGCCTGGCAACCTGCTGCATTGCAAGCAGCTGATTACTTGCTTTCGTCTCCATGGAGCGCAGAGTTACTTTTAGTTAAAGGAGGAAATCATCACCATGGTTATGCAGATGGTCAAAATGGAAAAAAAGGAGCTTGCTGCATCAGTGCGCACGCACTCCAATTCACGAAATTATCCGGTGTTGGCGACATAGTATTTGTCCTTTCTTCCTTGTGGGAGCACTTTATATGTTGTTATGCATAGCCCTCTTTAGATCACCACACTGATTTTCGATAGGATTTAGGTCTGGGCTCTGGCTCAACCCGGGGTGGACCAACTTGTGTGAGCAACAGCTGCATTCGATTTTTCACGGCCAAATGGGTCAGTGATTCTTAAGGTTTGATATGAGTCCCAATAGTGGTAGGTGGGCCTCCCCTAGTGGTATGCAAAAAAGAAAAAAGGCTTAATTAAATGTTCAAACTGGGCATAATTTTGCAGTGGCTTACATGCAGTCACATTTAACCTGTCTTAAAAAGGCATTTAAACTTGGTGCTAACTTCAGTTCTTTTGGCAGCTTATTGAATTTGCATGCAGCAAACAGCTAAATGCTGATGCACCAAATTAGTTTGGAATCCGGCCAGGCCCTACTAATTGAACAGAGTCCATGCAAACTATGTATCATGTTACAGTGGCTAACATTAAATGTACTTTTTAGGAATAAAAACCAATGGCATGGTCTCATTTTTGATGACCACTTGGGTTATACAAAGCTACTACTATACAGTATTTTTACACTGTTCTTTATGGTAGTACTTGGAGAGCCAAGTTTTTCATACAGTCAATACTGTAGGACTTTAATTGAAAGTGCTCAGTGGTCTGCATTAAAGAAGAGAGAAGGCCCACCATCTCTGGACCATTTCAAAACTTTCATTGTCCTCTGGTAGTCACTTTTTTAGTTTTTTTTTTTTTTTTGGTCTTAGTCAGTTTTGATATAATTTATTAATAACATATGTTGACTTTTTAGATCCAATTGTCCTCCTCTTGATTGCCTCACAATAAAAGCATGCCGTATAAAGAACCCAATTAAACAAGTTAACCTTGAGGTGATGGTCACCATAGAAATCCAAGCATCTCTCGTTGACGACCTTGAGATGCAAGCCAAGGTGAACACGTGCATGCTTTTCATGTCGTCGCGCATGGAGGATTGCGTGCTTCGAATGGCAGCTCTTACCAGCCCCTTGTAGTGTTCTCTAGGAGATGTCCTTGTGGGCCAGATGACTCATACTGTACAAAGGACACGAGCAAGCTTGCTGTCAGTCACTGCAACAGGTGGTGCGGCGAAGCCACGCCTACAAAAAGTAAAGCGATGGGTTCAAATTTATTTATTTATTTTTATTGTGGGGTGGCAGGAATTCTTCCATCATAAGCTACCTTATAAGGCAAAAAACAGACAAAACCTGATTAGTTAATGCCAAGTTAGATGAGGAGGGAATATATTGAACCTGAACAAAATCCTGGCTACATAAAATGATGCATGCACAACGATTTGCAATTGAAAATGCTCTTTACAACTCTTGATTTTGTTGTCATCACACATACATGATAACCTCAGGGTCTCATTGTAAATGTATGAAGGGATGTATGCGGTTGCTATGGAGACTATTCTTCTCAGCAACACAGGTGTGGTCAAGACTTTGATTGGTCACATGATCCGAGAACCTTACGGAACCACCCGTTCATTCAAACCATAGACAGCAATCTATAATATTAACTCCGGATATTATTGCGAATGGATGTACGGTGTACTGATGTTTTACCATCTGTGTTACCATCCGGCTTTAGATACCCTGCCACTAAAAAGAAGAAACAAAAAAAGGAGAAGGAGGAGCGCAACATTTAAGTATGAACGTTCAGCTTTTTATTGAACAGTTCCAACACAGAAATACAAAATGAAAACACCTGCAAGGAGCATGGAGGAGACACTGACACGGAACTAATTGTGCGGTAAACGGCCAATCAGAGTCAGAGGTCCTGATGTAAATCACTTGGCCAAGTCTCTTAAAGGACAGTGTGTGAAACTTTTGGCTTAAATAGACTTGAGAAAACCACTTTAAGTTTTTACATTTTGTTTTATAATGTTTTTATATGTATATTTTACATTACAGTGCTATTTTTCTGATTTAAAATGTAACACAAAAAAAAACCCCACCTTTTTTGGGGGGTGGGGGTGGTGCTATAAACTATTAATGGTATTTCAATGAGGAAAGTGATTGCATGTGCAGTTGTACCTGACTTACCGGTGACCCTGCTTGCCCAAAAAACAAACAAACAAACAAAAAACAGGTGAGCGGTGACGGTCATTACCATCCATATTTTTATAAATATAAAAAAGAAAAGCAATTAGTAATATATCATCTTGTCATATTTTTATTGTTTAATAAAAACTTGCCTCAGGTCCCTGGGATTAACCTGCAAACAAAGAGATCCACAAATTTTTTAAGTTTCTCCTCAAATTTAGCCACTGATTCGCAAACCTGGAACGGATAAACAGCAGTTCCATTCATTCTAATGGGGAAATATGTTTTGAGTTGAATGTCACTCAAGCTAATGTTGATGCTCCTTGAAAACTGAACAACCGAAATGCTGCATACTGTCTAAAGCTAGACGCTTGTAGCTCCATTATAGTCTTGGTTCGATAATAAATGTGTGCTACACTTTTTCAAAACATGAGACAAATGGCAGATTTTAGTAATGACGCCAGGGGCGTGAGGCACATGGGTGAGATGAATTAGGAAATGAGTCTTATCTGTGAGCGAGACTCGATCAAAAGCTACATGACGGAGCAAGTGCAGCCACAGCATTCCTTCAGCAGGGTGAAGCCTGTTTTGGCAAGAGGAGATGATTTCTGCTGAGCCCTGGTTGCTGCTCGCCTGCTCAGAACTACCGTAGAAAAAGACACACAGCATTTGCTCAAACAGTTTAGCAGAAAACTGGCAATTTCACATCCTGAGAAAGTCATACCTTTTTTCTGTCTCTGGAATTTGGACTTCAGGAAATCTGCCATTTCTTTATCTTCTTCTTTCTCCCTGCAGGTGAGAGCTCTTAAACACGTGCTGAATCCCCCTTGAGTTATTATTAATAGTCAGTTTGCCCAAATGAGTTGGTCTGTCTTTGCAATTGCCGTGTTTAACCCTTTCAGGGACAGCGGTTACGACAGTGGACAGCTTCATCATATTATCAGGTTACAGTATGCATGAAAGGGTTTATTTATCCGTAATGTACATTGATTATGAAACAGTACAGTTCCATCAATGGCAACGTGATGACGTTAAAAGGTCAATAAAATGACTCCTGGAGCGAGATTCTGATTAACATAGACAAGATGGCCTTTCACCACGTCCACATTTTATAACGCTGTCATTCGTGTTCTTCTGCTTCCTAAACTCTCACCTTTGCCGTGACTCGTTCTGCAGGCAAACCATGCTCAACATTTGTCTCGGGACGCATTCAAAACACGCATTAGATTCCACATCATCTCCTCTCAGGCCCCTCGCTGCAGTTGAATGACGGCCCTGACCTTTTCTCAATGCGCAATAAAATGACTCACCCGGAATATTAGGCTCTCGCGCTCGCTTCCTCTTTCTCTGGCTCATCTATCTCTCGATTGATGTAAAAAGCTCACCTGAGTCTTTCGAACTCCACGTCATCCACCAGGAAGTCTCTGGTTTCCACCAGTTTATGGATTTGCTGTAGAAGTTCTTCTTCCCTTTGTCGATCCTCATCGGACTTGTCGTTGTCTACGTTAGGTAGAGAGTAGAAAAGAGCGACGTTAAGTCCGTTTGTGTTTGTTTAGGTTTTGTGTGGCTTCTTCATTTTCACATGGATGGTAAGATGCACTCATACAAGTCGTTCTTGGTAGACTGTAAACAATCTATTCCTGTGAGAATTGTTATACGGGCTGTCAATGTGTTGCTCCACCGTTTGCGTTCAAACATCTATTGCTTCAAGAATTACAACACTGCAGCAACAATGCTCAGTGTTAACGCGTGTATGGCACTTGTTTGTCAGCATTAAGATGAGCAGTCTTTCTTAAAGCAAAGCCATATACGTGTTTTAAAAACACATGTAATTCTCTTTGTTTTATGTTCCAGTGGAGATCGGGACCGGGTCTTCTCGCAGATTGTGGAAATATGTGTATGATTGAAGACCAAAGAAACGCATTGAAAATATAATAATAATACATTTTAATGAAAACAAAACAAAACAAACTTCGCTGAGTACCATACGACGAGGGAATTTATCCAAATTAGCCTTAACCTGAAGCAGACAGCTAAATTGCTAAAGTTAAATTGTGACGTTTTCTTTTGGCCACGCCGCCTAATGTGCCAAAGCGTCAAACTACTGTATGATCAATTTGAGGATTCGCATTCAATTGAAAGTAAGCAAAATAAGATTAGATGATTTATACCGCGTGTGGTCTGATCAACATCTCCTGTCGAGGTGACGCTTCTAACCTGGTAGTGACACTAATTTTTGCAGCTCCTTCTTCAGCCGAGTGATCTCCTTGCACAGCTGAATGTCATCCATCCTACAAAAGACAGAGAAAAACTAACAATATATTCATGTCAAACCAGATATCGCTTCGTAAATACAATGATCAAAAAGATAATAATAATAATAAAGCATTTCTATACCCGTACTTGACCACCTTACATGTATCTGAGCTCTGACTCTCTCCGAACCAGAATGTCTCTGATGCGGTTGATCTTGAAGAGCTCGCCCTCGATGTCGTCCACGGTGATGCTGGAGTCCGCCATGGACACCACGTCGGCCTCTGGAATAAAATAGAGGACTACACATTTATCCAAAAATACAAACGGACTCTCAGTCTGTTGTAATAAAAAGAATTGTTTTTGAACCAAATAAAGTAGAGAACGTTGTAATTTGAAAAACCAAATATTTGACGCTAGTTAGTTTAAGTTTTAAACTCACTACTCAGCAAAGCAAAAGAACATACAAACGCGGCCATGACACTCTCAGTCACTTTTGCCAACAACAGGTTAACTTTAGCTCCTTCCCCAAATCAGATGCCTTCAAATAACGAAGACGTCACACTTCCCTGACATGGATCTCACTTCAACATTTATGAACGAAATTCTGGACGACATCTTATGTCTCCACAAGGGGGTGCAAATTCCCCATAATTATTTTTCTTTTCACCGAGCACAACCACACATATTGCACAGACTAGAAACATGATCCTGGGGGTCAATTTTTGACATTTCATGACTGTCATGTGGGAAGTTTATAAGTTCATTTAATATTTTTTTTCCCAAAAAATCAATACGAATGATCTTTCCCTAAAGTGCTCTGTTCTAACGGTCTGAGAATTGTCACATAACGTAACTTCACGCCATAACTCTGCAGGAGCCTCGCTGTATTGTTACCTCAAAAATCAAGGCATGTATGTCTTCAAGACAGTAGAGGGTATATACGCCTGTTTTGTTAAAAGTCGATAGCTGTCATGGTTGGTTGCAGAAGGGAGCTCGTCAGCTTTGAAGGTAAGCTCCACTCATCGGTATTGTTGTCTTTTCCTTAGTTGAGGGTTCTGTGCAAGCACAGACCTTGTTGGGCGTGGCTGGCAGTGCCGCTGTGTCGACCATTTTAATCAATTACAGCAGAAAACAATATACATATATATTTTTTGTGACTGCTGATTCCTCCCTCGAAAAGTAATAGTTTTGGAGGTGCTAAAATTCTGCCAGACAGCAACTCTATGCATCAACCTGCCAACAAACACAAACACTTCATTACATACTCACTGGAAGAAGAGACACCTGTGGAAGGTTGACATGAATGCAGTTGAGGTTGAAAAATAGTTTTTATGTGCTCTATGATCAAAGCATCTACTGAACATTATACAACACAAGAGAACAAAAGACAAGAGGCGTGATCTGTCGGCACAACATTGACAGAGCGTGCATTTTAAATGAGAACACTGCAGTAGGAGTACATTGGCTCACCTGCTTTGTGGCTGCCCGTGCTCCGCTGTGCACGCTCCAGCGATCCATACAGATGGAAAGACTCTCTCTTCTCGCCCATCATTCCAGCTTCTTCTCTTTTCTGCGGGATGCACATGCAGCATCAACCACAACAAAGAAAAACAAATGAAATCATGAAAAGTGTGTTTGCTGCATTTTGCCCGTGACTCACTGCCTGCCCAAGTCACCGACCTGCAGAGGTATGAGATGCTCCCCACATGCTCGGTTAGACGTGTGCGCGCAGCGGATTGAGAACGCCCTGTCAATCAAGCTGGTCGCGGCACAGGGGCCACAACGCCCCCTGGCGGTCTTTTTGTGACACACGGCAGGCAAACGAGCCAGTCAACTCCACCATGGCAATCATGAAGAGGGACTCGTAGAAAACCTTATTTATTTACACATTTACATTTTCGATTTACATTGCGTAGCGTTGTCAACATTTACACCCACATACAAGAGACTGCATTCGTGTGGACGGCGCATTGGGTTTCAGGAGCTATACGAAGCACAGGTGGCTTGTGAGCAGATGCAATCACATTTTGCCATGAATAGCAAGTGTCAGCTCTTCAACAGGCCCTCGACAATGAATGACTCTGTGATGATGTGCAATCACAACACACACACACACACACACACACATATACGCAGCTGCTCTCTCATCGTGCCCGCAGTTTTGGCCTAAACACATTTAGCATGAACAAGAAAGTGGCAACCAGACACTGAGGCTGCGATGGTTGCAGGTGTCCAATGGATACTTTCATTCCATTTGGTCTTTTCATAAATAAAACTTGTACAACAGAATCTGGGCTAGACAGTGGAAACTCTGAAGTCAAACATCCCTAAAGGTCGTATCTTTGGGTTAAATTCTTGATCAAACGGCGACTTCAGTGTGTGGGCAACTTTTTCTTGAAATTTAAGATTACTGTTTGAGCTTTTCCATCCACATGTTGCGCATGCATCTTAATGCAGAGGTCAGTTGATGATGCCAGCAAACGTGTTGACGGGTAGAGGGAGTCCTTTGCTCATGTATTTGCTCAGTCCGCCGTCGTCGTCCTGGCCCAGGTTCAATTTGGACATCATGTTTCTTTGGACGCAGTAACCAGGGTCAAGGCAGGGGACGATTTCAATGCTGCGGCACATTAGGAGAAGAAACATTTGTACATGCATTGGCAATATGCTGGAAGAAAAAAAACACACCCAAAAAAGGCTGAATGTATATGTATCGCTGGAGCGATGTGAATACTACTTTCAATATTTCTTGAACAGGCCTAGTGCGCTTAGGTCCAAATTGAGGTACTGCAACCAAAATAGAGCCATTGGTTTCGGACAAAGATGTGGTCAAGCCGTTTATCGGCCAAAATTATAGTCTCTTTTGAATCTATAATTGGAAAAGGACAATCTTAGTGTGCTTTTTGAAAAGCAAATGTGCTTTGAAATCAGCCGAGGCATAGAGACAAAACGAACCTTCCCCTGCCCTAGTAGAGGCCTGGTTACTTCAGACTTCTTTTTGTTGATTTTAGCTTTGTCTTGAGTCATATTCAGCTACATGAGTCAAGAACTCCTTTAAATCCAAAAAGCCACAGCAGGTTATGTTTAACTCGGCTCCATGTGATCTGGCTAAAAGCAGCACTGGCACCCCACCAGGGGTGTGTCAATTCAAATTTTTTGCTGTTCACGGTGTAGACCACTTACTGTTTCAGTTCCGAGCCACACAAATAAAGAGCAAAATTTGATAAGTCCCACCCGCAAATCCACAGGACCTTTTCAAGCAAATCACAGGAACATGCCATTTTATTAGATAGTGCTCATGTGTTGAACTTGAAATACTGTGTGTTCTTCTGAATTCGTAGAAGAGATATACAATAGGCGTCCCTATCTGAGGGCTGGCATTCATGAAAGGATTAATGCATGTTTGTGAGACAGTGACAGGATGGGTTCAGGCTCGGGAAATAACGGAATATGGGTTCAGGCTCGGGAAATAACGGAATATAAGCGCTATGTATTCAAGTTAAAAAAAAAAAGTAACTGTATTTTGTTTCAGAAAAAAAACAAAAACGCGCAATCGGATGACTGGTAAATTGATAAAAAATTGAGATTATTTGGCAGGATTAGATTTACAATGCAGACAGAGAGGCCGTCGGCACGTTTGTTCATTTCAGCGCAACAAGTGGATACATTGTCTTTAAGACGTCCAGTTCAAAGGGACCCCGACTAGGCTCGTGTGGAGTCAAACTGTCTATGCCCCCCCCCCGCCCCACACACACACGGCGAGTTCGAAAGCAACATGGATATAAAAGCTGATGATTTTGTCCCTATTTACATGCAACATAATCCCCGTTTTACCTCTGCACATCGTTGTAGATCCTTTGACAGTCTCTGTCTAAAGTAACTCTGAGTGGGGACTGACTCTCCAGTGAACACATCTTGATGTTGTTGCTTCTGATTAGGAACTCCTAGAAATTTAAAACAACTAGTTACTAATATTAAATAAGAAAATTCCAGTTGAAGAAAAAAATGTGCAAATAAAAAAAAGAAGCATACTGCGTTGACGTTTTTAGCTTTGGCGGGCCATTCTTTCAGAGTGAGTGTCAAACAGTTGAGATCTAAAAGTTCAGAGAGAGAACGAAACAGAATTTTTATGACATCAAGCCGGAACATTCAATCAGAAAAACGGAGAAAGGAGCAAACCTTCTTTTGCGCTCGAGGGAATAGCACTGATGTGAGCGCCTGTTGTCCTCATGGGGAAGCCTCTGTCAGTGTCGCGGCCACTTGGTGTCACCTACACACACGTAATGCACGCAACTGATGAAGCCAGTCGGTATTATATTAAACCGATGAAACAATGCAAAAATTAAGATTTTTTTTTTCTGGTCATTTAAAAAAAAAAAAAACATACTTTTTTGTAACTGATGCAGACAAGAGCTCCACATACATCCGCCACACTCTTCTTCTGCTTTTCTGTTTGAGGAATGGTTATTGCTGTCAATCATCGTTACCGTTTGTCAATATGCAGGGATAGTTCAGTGCGAAGGCCGTCTTAAATCACCTCTCATTGGCGCAGGAGAGTGTCTGGAGTCAGGAATGGCCACCTCTAAATGTGTGAGGAAGACATCCTCCACTGGTTCCTTGGTCATGCTTGTAAACGCAATCTAATTTAAAACACACACACACACACACACACACACACACACACACACACACACACACACACACACACACACACACACACACACACACACACACACGTACACACACTACAGCATGAGTTCAGTTTTAACTGAAATTATGTCTGGTGATCATTTTAACCCTTTCAGGGTCACTACAGTGGACAGTCTATCGTGTTATCAGGTTACAGGGTGCATGAAAGGGTTATATATAATTATTTGAGATGTGTTACATAAGACTCAATTGATTATGAACTCATTCACTGCCAGCCATTTTTAAAGCAGTTTGAAAGCATATTGCCAGCCGTATTACAGGATATGGACTGATCAATCAAGACCCAGAGATTATCGTATTCAGGAGCAATCTAAGCATCTGCCACACCCAAAGAAAGTGTAGAAACTTTTTTCTCGATTTTAAAAAATTCTTTATGAATCAGCAATAGAACATGGCGAGATCTTCTATGTCTCACCCATTAAAAACTTCAAAACATATTGTATGAACATTGTATATCGTTTTCATACCTCACATTTCTAAATTGACTTGATAAACTGGGAATAAAATATACATCTTTTTTTTTAACATCATGGAATGTATGGGGGGGGGGGCACTTGTCATAAAATGAATGTCGGAGAATACCTTCACCAAGTAGATGTTGAAGTAGACGGGCTGTTGGCCCATTCGCACATAGTAGGCCATGACGTCACACAGGAAGGGATCTTTTGGCCGGGATGGGTTTGTTTGTTGCTGCAAAATAACAAAAGTCCTCAGTTGAGGCAAGGAAAGCTGTGATCAAGCAAACCGTTATTTTTTGTATTTTTGAAACGGCCGCTCGCTGACAGTGTTTTTTTATAAAGAGAAATGCATCATTTGGGATTTCATTTGATTGTACCCAATGTTGTAACTGGTGATTGCAAAAGTGTCCACACATGACGTTCCTTGAGGTAACTTCAGTGCTTTTTCTCAGTTTACATAGAAAAGTTATTGAGTATGTTGTTTCTGCAGTGCCATGCCTACAGCGTGTGATGACATCTACAAGCCAATGCATACACTGTGTACACGTGACATGTGGTGATTGTATTTGACATTTTTTTTTTTTTTTTTTACCATTGTAGCTAGTTTGGGAATCATGCAGCCCAAACTGCTGATGTTGCAGTTGTACCACGGGTCCACTTTGCTCAAATAGGACCCAAGAGTGCATGTACTCTGCTTGGACTGTTGGTTTTCCTATTAGAGAAGACAAATTAGTCCAACCGACGACGGTAATCGTTCAACTGTCCAAACACACGCTACTGTTACAGTGAAGAATGTTTCGCAACAGGTGTGTTTGTTAAAAGTCAGGCAAGCGCTGCGCTGACGAGGGGACGTTGCCTCACCTTGTTTGAGGAGGTTGCGGTTGGCGCTGGGCAAACAGGGACGTAGTAAAACTGCAAGTTGACTTTCATGGTAAGGAAAATTCGCCGTGCTTCCCTTTTCCTGTAATGGAAGGCAAGACGGATGAGAAACGCAACCAATGTCCATGCCAGATGATGACGCTCTTGACAGAGGCCATTAAACAGTATTTTTTGTGTTCTGATGACTCATGGCCAAAATTATCAACAGGCCACGGGCACAATCCAATGACATGTCAAGGTTGCAAAAAAAGGTTTTATTTTGCTTACTTAATCTTGGTACATACAATAATGTCATCGACACAAAATATTCTTTTTTTGTTAAATTGGCACATTTTCATATTTTTTTTTAGATTTTTCACTTTTGTTGATATTATTTTGATTTGGTTACATTTACTTCCATTTGTTCATTAATATTATTATTTTTTTGTCATTTTCTTGTCCCAAGTAAATTTAGAGTTAATTTCAATGACAAATCCAAGCAATTAGACATTGGTGGAAAACTGTGTTCCGCTACCATTCTCAATGGATAAAACAAAAACAATACAATATAATACAGTTCACTAGCAAAACTGAACATGAGCATCTTTGTTGAAGCAGAATTTTTGATACATCTCTTGTATGGAACCACAGTCATTTTACTGCCCTTTGTCACAAATCACAAGCGACTCTATGTGACCCCTCACCTTAAGCAGTAGTAGGCTTTAGCCAGGCGGCCCACGACGC